AATCAGGACGCTGTAGGTTATTTTGAGACAATTCCACATACGGCGTCCTGCTGCCATAAATACTCAACACTGACACTACCAGAGCATCCAATCTACAGCTGAAAATATGTCCCAGTAAATGCACGTATAAGCAACATCTGCTAAAAAACACAAAATACAAGAATCCCACAGTGCTCAGCTATTAACTGCCCTTCAAAATAAAAGTCTACATTCATAACAGATTTTAAAAATGGGACCTGTAGGCGTGGCGCTGAAGTATGGAAAGCACTGAGTGACAGACTACCATGTGTTTCTTTTGGTCTTTTAATAAGATTTGTTAAAAATGACAAATAGTTATATTTATCACCAGCTTCACTCTTTAAAAACTGCCATCATATCTTAAGCTGCTGCATTATGGTGGCATTTTAGATCAATTTTCTATAATGTAGTGTTCAGAATGGGTGCCATAATTTAGAACAACACAAATTAAACCATAAAACTCTGCTGAAATGCCATTTATGTTCTGTATATGTTAAAAAGACCTTTTCAAAATGTGCTACTGGTGACATGCGACCAATCAGATTGTTCTGTGGGCGGGACATTGACCACAGATGCATCAGAGGTAAAGTTTTTAAATGAAAATATTTAAATGGAGAGTCACTTAAAAAACACAGATAATCGGGAAAATGATGAATATTGGATCCGACAGTCGGCCAGGCTGATGATGAGTCGACCCCCGAGTAGTGTTGAAAAAAGTTGACTGGATGAGATGAAACTCTGACGACAGTCCTGTAGATGGCCACTTCACTATTATGCTCTCTCGTATTTTTGCTTTTTTTAATTTAACCCTAACTGTATTCATTCCTGTCGCATCAGAGTCAAACTTCTGGTTCACTTTTAAACATGCTCTCCGACACACATCCATGTAGCCAAATGCTCACTTCCTTTCTTTGACCTTTTGTCCTGGTTCAAATGAATGCATGTTGTTTATTTGTGTGTGTAAGTTCTTTAAAAGCAAAAAAAACCGAATTCCTTCTGTGTCTACGCACTCTTGGGCAATAACGCTAAATCTAATTCCAGGATGCTCTAATGTGTGGGATGGCAGAAAAGGTGGAAACAAAGGGTTTAAGATCCAAACACATGACTTTTCTAGAATTATTTTTCCAGACACCAACAAGCTCCACACGCTATTTTACATGCAGCTCTTCATCCTGCACTCAGATCTCCATTTTCTTGCCGGTGCACCAGTGAAACACCTGTGAGCATCCATCTCCTCAGCGGACCGGACTGTGCTGCAGCAGGAGCATCCAGGCAGAGCGTCAAGAGCGCCGTGACTCAACATCATCTCAGCGCGAGAGCAATGACGGTGACTGACAGATGCAGAGGTGGGAGGGAAGAAGGCAAGACAAGTGACAAGCTCGAACAGGATCACAGTTCCTTTGAAGGCAGCTGGGCAGGCACACACAGAGCCCACTAGAACAGGGAAGTGACTCAACACCCCAAGGACTTCAAATTACTTTTCTACAACTTAGCTCTCCTTTCTCAGCCCACATAACACCGATACTATTAGCACAGTTTTAACTCTCCGCTGGACAATTTGCAGTCAAGTGATTGAGGAGCGTACGGCGACGTGCAGTCATGGCGGCGGCGTGGAGGAGGAGGAGGAGGAGGAGGAGGAGCAGGAAACAGTAACAACGTCTCTCATATTTCAAACGCAGGAGCGAGTAAGTCAGGCTGCTTTCATGTCAAGTTGCACAACAGGAAGAGAAACAACACAGTGAGAAAGATCCCACTAGAGGAAGTTGTAATTAATATTTGTAGCAGAAACTGCGGTGAAGAAAGTGCAGCAACGTTTTAGAATCGTTGCAAAGGACGGCATCACTTCACTCCATCAGTGACGGAAAAACAGACACTTTATTGGTGCCGGAGGTTCTCTTCATTTAATCAATAAAATGACATAAGTCGGTTAAAATCAACAGACGCTCCGGTGCAGGGTTTGATAACAGAAGAGAAGGCCGATTGGTTTGTTTTGATTGCCCAACACGTCTAACATCAGACACTGTGTGATGATGGTGCAATGACATGCATTACTAGGTTGTTTAACCTGAATACGTTGCACAATTCTGCTCCTCTCCTGGAGGGAGTGTCAGGTGACATTTTTAAAAGCCTAATTGGAGAAGGCCCTCCAGCTGTGCAACGCAATTTTTAAAAAAAGAAAAGATAGAAAGGGATTTATTTAACACGCTTTGATCAATAATGCTTCTATACTCAATTACGCTTTTAACATTTTAAAGCCTGGAGGACTTCAATCATGACGGAGGAACTTCTTTTAGATCTTAAATGTTAGAAGGGAAGATGAATCAATCAATTAACGCATTCTTAGGAGGGGATTTTTTTTTTTTAAAAAGGCCATCTTCCCCGGACACTCCTTCACCTGAAAGTCTTTGAAAATTGCTGTCAAGGGACCTTACCTTGAAAAAAAAAAATAATAAAAAAAGTTGATTGCTCATGGGGACAATGTGCCCTTTTACTGACACTCTCCGAAAACGAACGCAGTGCACCTTTGAAATCGGGGATGTGAGTGCACAGGACACAATCATCAGGAACCGCAAGCTGTAACAGCACAAAGCGTCTCGGTGCACCCACACACACACACAGACAGGGTGTGTGTGTGTGTGTGTGTGTGTGTGTGTGTGAGAGAGAGATATAGAGGCTTGTGACTTCCTCTCGTCTCCACTACATCACAACCAACTATCACTTCACAATGAAACTGATAAACTGTCTTGTAAATTGAGGTGCTTGTAGTCCTCCACAGTAAATTAAGTGGATGTTTGTGGATGAACTCGGAGAGGTAGACCACGAATGGAAGGTGTGAATAAAAGCCTCCTTCCTGCAGCAGCTTTACAGAAAAAGGCTGCACCAGATGTGGTGGCTAAGCTAACTTTCCAACATCTCAGAAAGGGATTAGAAACTGTGTGGGGGGGGAGGTTTCTCTCAGTAACAGCACATGAAAGCGTCGACAGAAAGCCACAACGCCTAGACATCTCTTTACTTACAAAAAAGCAACATTTTATGCGTCTCCCCAACATCAGGAAAAGGAAAAAATCCATCCATAAAAAGGTCAAATTAATTATTTGAAGCTCTTCTTCCTAATGAGACAAATTAATGGATACTACAGTTCAGTGGGTGTTGCCATGTATACCATGAGAAAGGACAAAAAATAAAAATCTGGTCAAAATATGTAACCTCACGGTGGTTTGAACCCATTTTTGAACTCCAAATTACCCCAAGATGTAATGAGGCAAGACGCACTCTCATCACATTTTAATTGAGGAGGGACGACTAACAGCTAACAGACATTTCTGGAAACCGGCCACAGTTAAACTCCCTCATCCATCCCAGAGATCCACATGAACCGTGAGCCACTTCGGGCCCACAGTGTCACATCTGAGTCAAACATGTCACATTATCTTTCAGCACGTCGAAGCCTCCTCATGCAGACACTCGGAGCAGCACATCATCATTTTCCTCCTCCCATTTGCTTTCTCGTGTCCAAACACTGAGCTCAGTCCCACGGCGGAGATGTTGTTTGTGGACACGTTTCGGGTTAATGATCCTGCTGATAATGAGATCCTGCTAACCAGACAGTGCACACATGTCAAGGTGAGCAAGCCACCTCGCTGAAACAAAACCCCCAAGCCTCACACGGAGTCCTTGCCTCATGTGCACAGTTTGTGGTTTGTGAGCAGAGGGGAAGGAGCCCTTTAGCAGGCGTACATCACTCTGCAGAGACACGAACTGAAGCGGTAAACAAACCCACACCGATGCTGTTTTTAACATTTGTGGCGTGTAAAGAAGCAGTGGATAACCCCTGTTGTAGTTACTAAGTCCCAAAATGGAAAAAAGGGTATTCCCTCCCTCTAGTATTTATCTGCAACGCTCTCACACAAGGCAGGAAGTTCACAGCTAAAAGCAAAAGAGATGTTATCTGTGGCAAGACGTTGCTTTTTTCCATGAAGTCATCACGAGCCCCTGGGTAGAGTGGCTGGCTGCAACAAAAGGGCCACTGTTTGACTGGCACAATGTGCCGCTCTGCTCCACAGCTTGGCCGCACATGCAAATGACAGGAGAGGAGTGAAAGGTGTGCAGATGTCAGGTCCCAGCTCAGCATGAAAATACTTAACGTGTGTGCATGAGCTGCTTTGTGATCCACAGAAGTGATATATTCACCTCAAAGGCATAAAACTGGCAACTTTACATGCTGGTTTGACAACAGCACTGTGCCTCTGTGATCTTTATCACTCTGACACTGTCCACTTTAAACAACACATGCACTTCCGTGTGTTATCTTGTAATTTGAACTGTAAAGTACAGGCCACGTGAAGAACAACTGTTGAAAGTGAAAACAGGTTGTTCAAGATTTTCTGTTTCATTATCTTCAGCTCTTCATCCTCTTCCACCCCAGTAGCCTTCCTGCCCTGCACTTCCTGATCCCTGTATGACAGCCTGGGATGTCTGTCCTCACACAGCTGCTCGTACTGTGTCCATACCCAGCCACAGAGGGCTTGTTTTCCATGAGATATCAGCTTTTTTTTTTTTTTTTTTCGGCTGCCGTTTTGAGGCACTTGACATACTTTCAGAGCAGACCTGACACGAGGAGAGACTGAATAAAGAAGAAGCTGGATTGTTTAACTAAATTGGTTTATTTGTGTCGTATTTCTCCTCTGCAGATGTGTTTCCAAACTTTACCCGGTGCGGTGTGAGGTGAATGATCCAATGCGGGCATGTGCATCAATGAATGTGCCACTTATATTTCCACTGACTGTGCGCCACAGGGAATACGGTGGCTTTTTACGCGCACGATCTGCCTCAGCTTGAAATCTAACGGCAGTGGAGGGGTTTCCTGGCAAATGAATCGATGCAGGCTCTCATACGCACCACGTTTGACTTAAAAGAAAAAAAAAAGAGAGAGAGAGAGAGAGAGAGAGAGAGAGGGGAAATAATGTAGACAAACTACTCACCGTTCGGCCCATATTTCTCCAAACTGACTTTGACCTGCTCCAGAGTCAGCCCGGTGTTTTCGTTCACACTGAAGTTGTCTAAAACTTCAGTCGCCGATTTAGTGTGCGCATTTTCCATCTTGGTGGACCGGGCTTAGATGATCAGATCGAAATGCATGCAGCTGAGTAACATCTACTGAGGCAACCTGGGGGTGTGTGCGGGGCTTGAAACAGCAGTAATTTCCACCGATGGGCGTTGAGGCGGCTCGGTTTGCTCTGTCACCTGTCTGTTCCCCCCCTGAAGAAAAAGCTCCGGATCCGCGGTTCAGACGCTGTTGTCTCTCTGTTGCTCGACTGCCGCTGCTACTTCATCTCCATCTGAAGGTGTGCTGTGTCTGTGCCGGCGCGGACCGCCTCTCGGCTGTTGAGCACTCCCTCCTGCGCTCCCATTGGCTGCGCGTACCTGAGCGCACGGTCCCGCTGCCTCCTGCAGCCACTTCAAACATCAGGACACGTTACGCGTTGAGTGTAGTGGAGCTTCAGATACTTGCGCTGCTGTTTATTGCTCCTGATTGGGGGGGATTTATCTGTTTGATTAGAAGTTCACACAGAGCTGGGAACAAAGTGCGTCTTTTAGGGGGACTCTAGTTTTTAAAGCCCTCTGCGCACAATGCAAACTGCCGCTGTTTATGGCGCACAGAGTGGGAGTGTTAGTTGTGCACAACACTGTGAACTGAACCTCAACGCAGCCCCGAGGCCAGCTGCACAAAGACTGTGTTGATCGAGTCAATTAGGACGGTTTTTAGTTTTCCTCTGAAATGCTGCAAGACAAAAACGACTAATTTTCAGATAGCAGCTCCACCCTCAGGGCTGTTTTCCACTGACAGCGGACGGGAAAGGGACAAAACATGGCCTGTAATTGGATTTTGATAGCAATTCTGCAGAGTCAGAAAGGGAAGAATGTTTCTATGAACAGCAGGAATTTCTGAATTGATGCATTTGTTTCACTCATTACTGAATACCCCCCAATCATTTATCATTCTAAATTCTTTGACTAAATTCACACATGACCAGAGAAGGAGCTTGAACTCACAGCTTTGTCAGCACGCTTAGTTTGAAAATAATTAGACGGAACAGTGGAGAATGAGAGAGAAACTGTATTTGTTAGATTTGAACCGTTAAAGCTGCCCAGGCAGTCACACAAGAATGATGGCCAGCAGGGACAGCACGACTTTATTGTGTTTTTATTCCCAATAATTGGTGCATTTGTGTACTGAAAAAAAAAAAAGACTTGGAAGCTATGAACAGCAAACAGTAATTGCTAAAGCTTGGCATATTTTCTCCAAGTTGCAGATAATTGGAAACAAGGCTGACACGTTTGTGGACAGCAGGCTTGATGCTGTCGAACTGCTGGAAGATCTGGGAAAGTAACACAAGGAGTGAGTCTCTGTTGTGTTTTCTCATGTTTATTCTATTTATTTGCAAGGTATACGCTTTTGCAAACAAGAAAACGCAACAGAAACACTAAGCGTATACCAAAATAACAAAAAAAAGAAAAAAAAGTAGTAGGACACGGATTGAAAAACAGCAAAATCAATGTGGTTGTCATGTCCTGTCACTTAGCAAGTTGCATTTTGAGCTGCACAAAGCAGCAGCTGAGCAGAACGTCTCAAACTCTTGACAGCTGTGTTCTCCGTCCTTGCGATGTTGCCAGACTGTTCTCTCAAGGGGACTTGGCAAGAGCGTCCTTCTCGAGTCCATTCTTGGCTGTGCTGGTACTGAGAAGCAGTCTTTTGAGTTCTCAGGACCAAGGTTGAATGCCACTGACTCAGAGGATGTTTGCAGATGCAGGGTTTGAACTCAGGAAGTCCAGCGAGAGGACAGTTCATCTGCAGGGAGAACGGAATAAAAGGACAAAGTGCTTTGACAGACAAAGCAGAAGCAGGATACCAGAATCTGACATGGCAACCGATAAGAAAACAAGAAAACAGCAGACAAAACGAGCAATGTGGCGATAATAATAAATACATGTAAACTAATAAAAGCAAAACATATAAGCAATAAAACGTCAGCATCATATTGAAAAAAAAAAGGGTTTCAAGAAGTGATTTTAAGGGTCATTGATTCTACAGCTCCTCAGGCAGGTCCCTCCAAAGCTGAAGGGCCCCTTAAGATTTAAGCCTCGACCTTGGACCCCCCCATCTGAGCATCTAAAGCTTGAAGCTTAAAATCAATTTCAAAACGAACAAGGAGTCGGTGGAGAGAAGTCAGGACTGGGGTGATGTAGTGTCATCTGTTAAAACCAGCAAGAAGCCGAGAGCGCTGCTGTTTGGAAGACTTTGGGTTCGTGACAGAATGAAGGGAGCTGCAGTGGTTGAAAATAAATGACTTGTGAGTGCATCAGTTTAATTTTGGATGGTTTTTAACTAAAGGAAGCAGAACTTCTTTGATTTGTGGCTCAAAGGTTCGGTGTGAGTCAATTAATACTCCATTAAAATTCCTGGCAACAGGCGACACATTAGCAGAGGAGCGACAAAGACTGTTCTAAACGACACAGTGTCAGGGATTGAACAATATGATTTCTATATATAATCTGTATGTATGACTCTGTGTACAGTTAATAAAGTAAAACATATAAAAGACAAATAATAATGCTAATAATAATAACAATGGTGTGTCAACAGCATGAAAACACAATAAAAATGTTCTCATTACAGTTTTGAATTCAGTAAAAGAACAGATACTACTTTTGTCCAATATATTATTAGTATTAGACATGACATCAGCAGATAATTAACGTTAATATTAATGCATATTATAAGTAGAGTTTTGCTGTTGTAGCTCACCCAGGTTCAGTTTGTTTTATCTGCTTCACATCCAGTTTGATAGATTGGGCTTGAGGCCCCCTTCAGTGGGTTGCAAGATCACAATTGATGAGATTGTGAGATTATTAACGAGGCGTGAAAGACAAAAACAATTAGACGCATCAATTTATAGTCACTTTTGGGACCATTTCTTTCCAGTTTTTTGCTTTTTGTGATAATTGAATATTTGACCTCTTGTTAAATATCACAAAAAGACAGTGGTGGTAAATATTGTCCAAAGCTGCTGTTATGATGTTTAAACTTCCCCCTTTTTCCTGAGACACAATGGTTGCATCCTGGCGCTGAAATGATTCATTTTTATGAATCCATAGTTTGTGTCGAGTGACTTACAGCATGAAGTCACTTTTCTTGTTTATTCTGGTCCAAATCACTCCCTTTGGCCCACTGCAGCCGCCCGGTTCAACCAGACACACACACTTACGGCAGCGACACATCAAAATGCTCATTCGCTGCGACTTCTGGCAGCACTCGCGGTCTTGTCGTAATTGGTGGCTTCACTGCATCAGAAACAAGTGCAACGCTGCTCACTGCCTGCACAGAAACCATTATTTTGCATATCATTTACTAAGACCCTTTGGGGACTTGAACTTCCTGGAAACCTGTTGTTTCCTGGAAAACAGTAAAGGTGACCTCATATGACACGGACAGAGGGTGTGAGCGAACGTACAGCTCTCCCGCCCTTTTTGTGCCTGTTGGCAAATCGGATTGCCTTTCTCCTTGAACCGGCGTCTCATTGGTTGAACCTTCTGAACGATGCCTCACCAGCACTGCCTCAATCCATTACAAACCTCCATTAAACTCTTACTGTTTACAATGCTTTGCAGCTTCTGACTGGGGAGCCCCTGTAGGGTTGGCACTTATGGGGGAAATCAGCAGTTTATTGATGCAGTGGCAGAAGTTTAATGAATTTGCCCATTCATGGTCGACTGGGGAGGAATAAGCCAGCTGAACGCGAGCAGGGAAACCGGTGTTCCAGATTTCCCTTCCATCACTTTATCCTGAGTGTAAGGTTACTGCAGCACAATCTCCCCACAGTATGCGGACTCTGAAATGGGTCTACTGTTGGAGATCACAGGCGCTGGACTGGGACCTGGTTGGGCACAAAGTATAAAAGGAACAGGGTGCTCCAATTCTGTCCCTGCTCACAGCTGGCCTCTTCTCTCACAGCAAAAAAAAAGTGTATTTATATCTGGAGCTTACGTAACTTCCAGAACTGCCGTCTGGAGGATGGTAGCTGGCTACATGAAGTTCTCGGATGCTAAGTGCCTACAAGTGCCCTCTCGCTTGCTTCGGAGGTTCTGTCTTTGCTTCTCCTTCAATATTCAAATCCAAAGATTTTCTATTTTAAAAACCAGACCTCACCGGAGCAGATCCCCAGCAGACAATCGAGGCTACATCCACAGGTTCCACTCATGCTGCTCGCTGCCCACTCACGAGCGCAGTCAGGGAGCGAGATTCTGGTTAGTCATCGGCAGCATCGACTTATGGTGTGAAGTTCTCCTTCAACTTGTGTTTGCGCGAGCTAAAGCCTTTGCATCAGGCGTCGCAGTGACATAAATTTCAAGAGAACCCCTTCGACGCCAAAGCTCTTATGAAAAGGAAATCCCCACCCTGACCCCCCTCTTTGGCTCGCTCGATCTTTCCCTTCAGTGGCGCACACTGGGGGACTGTGCTAGCCTCGGTGCCAGTCACACAACATTTTCCACACAGCACTGTCAGCCTTCCAATACCATTTGCCTTCCCCTTTTGCTTGCAGCAGTTCATTTGCATGAGGGAAATGAGCCGTGGCCTCTCAAGCATGAAAAAAAAAAGAAAAAAGAAAAAGAAATTTCACTCCACCTTGCACGTGATGTTTCACAAACCTCCATCTAAGACGAGGCGTGACACTCTCTCTGCACCTGGACCTGAGAGTTCGATGTGACAGTGAGATTTTTTTTTTTTTTTTTTATTCAACTCAGGCAAACAGCCACCCTTGATGTTTTTCGTGGAGCTCCGCTGCTGGTGCTGCAGACTTGGGGGACAAACAGCTGCTGCTGCCATTGACTTTGAATCAAGGAGATGATGGTGATGCGAGTCGCCCACAGTCTGGAGCAGCTGTACCTGACAAGCAGCCCAAGTGGCAAGTCAACCCCCGCCCAGCCTCCTCGCCATTAATAAACCTCTCCCCTCTTTCCCCCCCGTTCTCCTTCCCCTCTTCCCCGTTCGGGGGTTCTGCACATCTGTGAGAAAGTCATCATTTCACAGTCTGGCGCAGCAGGATGCTCCGCCGCCTGTCAGCCCCTAGAAGAGAAGGCGAATGTTTTATGTCAGGGGAGAAAAGTCTGCTTTAATGCCGTCTTAATACCAACTGAATATTTTAAATCCAATTTTTTGAATGATATTTTAAACAGCGGTACAGTGTTAAGGAGACATGAACCTTTAAGAGCATCAGAAAGACGAAGCAACGTGCTGCGTATCTGTGTCATTATACTCACAATGGATGCATTAATATTAAAGC